AAATTAATCCGTTCCGAAACTGAGATCGTATCATGAAAATATCGTAAGGTGAATCATTTTTCCCCATATGATTACATGTAAAACCAAATAATTCGTTCCAACACGAAAAATACACTCAAATTAAAGCTAAGTAGTACATTAAAAAATTAACTATAGTAAGGAAAACACTGAAAATGCGTTTTGTAGTTGTAAATGTATAAATAACCATAATAGAATAATAATTGATAAAAAAAATGTAGTTTTATTTGCACTTTACCTCTGAGGATAGACGACGGTGGAGGTGTAAACTGGTGGCGGAAGAAAGGGAGAAGGGAAATGATACTAAAACTTAACTTACATAACATAATGTAACAATAACTTAAAAATAATTTAACACTAATTTTTTAATATTTTCTGTTTCATATTTTTTTAAATTTTTTTATTCACTGCTTTTTGCTTTCTTTCCTTCACTTCCATCAGCACTTTCACTGGATAGAGGTTGCTTGGTAAAACACACGTATCTATCCAAAGAGGTTTAGCTTTGCCTACTTTTTAAAATGACTTAGGCAAATGTCATTACTCCGAGCAGCAATACAACTAGTGTGAACCTTTTCGGGATGTTTCTTTTCAATAAAATCAGTCACTTTCTGATAATACCTCGAGATTTCCTTTATCTAGCGAGATCCTTCCACGACAAAGCAAACACGTGGACTGAGACCAATGAACAGAAGTGAATAAAAAATGGCGCTGAGAACTAATGTAACTTCGTATGGTGAGTTTTTTGTTCGTATCGTGGAGCAAAAATATGTTTGATTTTCATGTCGTATCCTGAAAATTTCGTATGCTGGGGCGTTCGTATCTTGAGGTACCACTGTATAAAATATTGGATTATTTTTAAGTTCATATATAAATATCTTAAAATCCAATGATTATTATATTAAAGTCAAATGATTACCAGATTAAATCGGGCTAAATTACCACTACGAATAATTATTAAATAATGAATAATTTGGCACTAGATATAGGCATTAGGAGCCATCTCTTATTAAATTGAATAATTATAATTAAATTAATATTTATTAAATTGTTTAGAAAATTCTGGAAGAAAAGAATTGGTCTGGATCTGGACTCGAACCTGCAACTTCCACTTATTGTGTGGATGCATTGCCACTTACACTACCTGGACTTCCACCTGATCCTTCACTTCCAGACATTTAATGTTAATATAACCATTGTTTGAACATTTCATTCAGATTATTTAGCAATTTGTTGAATGATTAGATACAAAATATGATATAAATTTACAATATTGTCTTTAAAATCATTTTTTGATTAAATATTTTTATTCAGTTACTTGAAAAATAATTTCTAATTTAAAAATTTATTACAATTATAGTTGAAGGATTTATCATTTGTTTTATAAAAAATAATTATTGTTTTGAAATATTTTAAAAGTAGGTTTAAGTTATCCTTAATTCTTAAGTTATTTCTGATGCAGAATATAATGCTATAGAACCTGATATTTTTTTGAATGCTTCAAAAGATCAAATAACAGAGTGGCAGCAACAAGCAACGTAAGCTGAATTTTTTCAATAACTTACTGAAATTATACACAAAAATTAGCTGTACTAATTTAAATTAATTCTAATACTAATGTGAGGACCCGAACATGGGTCGACTGAGAGGTCCGAATTGTGGGTGTCGATTTAAAGTAAAAAGCTCCTTTTCAGACGCTAAGGAAACGGATTAGGTGTCTCGATTGAACAATGCAATTGGTTTTTTTCGGAAAATTAGTTAAACAATGGAAACGGAGAAATTCGAGGAAAACGCGACGAGAGAGAGGATCATATTCAGTCGCTATGTTAACCTCTCCCGCGCCCTCCATTAGGTTTCGAATTGTCACCAGGTGACAATGAGAGACCAATGGAGAGGCGACTGCTGTAAAAAAATCTATAAATTTGTGCGACTCAAGAGACGAAGGTTCTTGGTTCGTAGTTTTTGGTTCTTGGTGTTTGGATACGTAGTGTGTCGTCTCATGGACGGTCGTGCTCCAGATCTTAGAAAAAAAAGGACATTTTGGAACATCGTGGAAGCATCGTTCTCTGGGTGCTCCTAGCAATCGACAGATTCGTCGGATCGTCCGCGAGAAGCCGCCGAAAGCCGTAATCAACGCCCCGGGGCCCACCGAGTGTTTCACCGACAGCGTCCATCCACTAGTGACGAAAACCGACTTTTACGAACTTTATTTCGAACTTTATCCGTGCGCTTTGGGGTGCTACCTCGTCTAACAAGTAATTTGTAAGGAAAATTTCTATGTTTAATAAACGGTTATATGGTAAACCTGTCTCAGGAAGTCAGTCTGCGCCCACACGACAGAAAGAACCGCTCGGCTGTCGAACACCTCACCCCTAATCGGCTGACCTCACACTAACTTAGAAACATCTAGGGAGAAATCTGTTTGAAATCAAACTTTTAATTCTTGTGGCATAGTCTATATTGGTTAAGCTGTTCAAAAATTGTAAGCTAGGATTTCTTTATTACAAATCTTTTTCTTTTTTCTTTTTACCTGCAAGTTTAATCCAGATTAATCCAGTAAGAGTTTGTTTGGTAATTTGACAGCATAACTAACATGTTTGCCTAGTTTGCAGGAGTTATGAATTCAGTCTGCTTTAAGCAGATGTTTTAAACAATTAATTAAAATTATTAATAAATGGTGATTTTACCTATTATAAATGAAGGCCCAAGTGGATGAAGGTGTTATGTTAAAATTATTCAAAACTCAATAGTCCTATATGGATAAATTAATGGATTAATGAGTAATTAATGGATAAAATAATGGATAAAGGTAACATAGACATCTCTCACATATCACCATCCTTGAAATTAAATGACACTATAATGCTACTCTGCGACATACTATTTTGTGAATATATTTACATTGAAATAATTACATAATAAAAACTTGAACATCAGTTCATTCAAAACAGTGATTTTCTAGTATAACAAAACCTTCATCCAGTCATGTCTTCAAATGATAGTCTTGCGATTACTTTCTTAAAATGAGAATTAATTATATTTTAATTGATTGTTTCCTTTTTGAGTTCAAGTTTTTTCTTTAAAAAGAAAAATAAAAATTTTAAATACTTTATATTTATATGTAGTTTATTTCAGTCATGTATGTTGATTGGTTACTTATGTTGACACGTACCGTACATTGTTTTATACAATCAATAAAGACTGGTATTTGATTTTGAATTATTTCCCATAAGTATTATATGTGAGATTTCATGGTATATAATTTTAACATTGTATTATTTTAAAATTAGTTATTTTTTTTTATTATTTAAGCTAAAGTTAAAATCTAAGTAAAAAGTAATTTTTTCTGTATGATATGATATAACTTTACTAACATTATAAAATATTATAATATGTCATTTATCATTTATTCCATCAAAAATAATAAAAATTAAACTCCTTAATTAAAGAAGTTTTAGGAAAAATTCTGATAAACCTTTTCAAGAATAATTCATATCTGCAGATCCAAATCATTCAAACGAGTAAAAACCCCGGAGTTTATAAATTTTTAAAGCTTGTAGGATATTTGGGATATTTTAGAAATGAACCAAAAATATTGAAATATTCTAAAAATTCAAAGAATTGATTCTATTAGAATGATTTGAATTTAATGATGGAAATTATTATTAAAAAGATTTAACAGCTTTTTGTTTAAAAATTCTTTAATTGAGTAATTTAATTTTTAATATTTTTTGATATAGTTAAGAAAATATAAATTGGCACGTCTCTTTGGAATGAATGAGTTGAATATGTTGTAATAAAAAAAAATTTCCTTTTATAACTCAAATTATTCAAAAATTATGTTATATTGAATTAATTTTTAATCTGATGCATTTTTTATTATTAATGTAATTGTTATGTTGAATATTATTTATATGTTAATTTTTTTATGCATGAGAAGAAAATTTTAAAATTATGTTTTTGCTTTCTTATTCTAGTTACGGAGTTTATATAATTGACAAATTAAAAACTTTGCCAGTAAAAGAAGAAGTACGAAAGCATAAAGCAAAATTACTAATATACTTTTACTATATGATGCAATTAGCAAATTTAAAAGCAAGAGAACTAAAGAGAAAAGGTAAAAAAATAAGTAACATATTGATGAAAAAGTATACTTTATGTAATATAATTTTACATAAATTTTAATGTTTTATAATGTTATTTACTTGAAGAATCTTGCAATTAATAATTTTTTATTTCATATGAATTGCTAAATGTATTACCAATTTGTAAATATAGATGTAATTAAAATCATTGATTTGAACTAATATTATATATATTTGTTTTATTCAATTATTACATATTTAATTTTTTTATTTTATAACACTAAATGAATTAAGCTACTAAATTAACTTTATTATGGATATAATTGAAAAATATTTCAAAATTAAAAATTTATTTTGAAAACTTACTAATTCAGCAAACTTCTTTAATCCAATTTAATATTTTTAGCTATTTTCAAAATTGATTCCTTAGATTACAAGCAAATTAACTTCTAAACAGAAACATTGGTCCATGAGACCGTTACTGCTATATTATGCTACAATGTGTTAGCACTTTTTGAGCTTTGTCTCATATCTATGGTATGTTATCATACACTACGCATCTATTACTGTTCAGTTTGTGACTGTTTTGTGAGATTATGGGTGAGGATATGAGAGTTTTACTGGTAAACCATTTGATTCATCGGGATGTTCAGACCTGCTCACCAGTGCCGTAACCAGGCAGGTGCAACGGATGCACCCGCACAGGGCCCACTTGGAAGGGGAGCCCAAAATGCATGTATTTGTTTTGTTATTTTTCCAAACCTAATTAATTAAGGGGCCTAATTGCAAATTCTTGCACAGGGCACAAGAATAGCAAGTTATGGCACTGCTGCTCACGATGTCACTGGATGGCGTAAATATAATAGGTCACATAAAATGCTGTCAGGAGTGTACAGTCCTTCCGTTGTCAGGACCTGACACCAGCTAGTGTAGGAATTCATGCATTAACTCTCAATATTAAGATCTATATTTGAAAGGAGGGCTGTATAATTATCAAGTGAGGAAGTTGCGAGTAAGTTCTGATTGTAGACAGTTTGGATGTTCGTATTTAACCAAGGGAACACACAGTATGGACATTCGAATTGCAAATTGGTTAATAACAAACAAAAGTTTAATGAATAAAATAAAGAAATACATAAAGGAATAATCTATCATATGTGATGCCTAACTACGTGCCTAAACCGGAGAGAGAGTTTACAAAAGGTTCTAAGTATAATATTTCTGATCTGGTTGATTCGATCCAGTTGGTGTGTGGAGATGTCTGTCTGATATGGAGACAGAGGATGATATGGAATATGATATGGAGAGTAGCGAGACAAGACTTTAATGCTTGACTGCTTTGTCTATGTGGAAATCTTCTTATGACTGTCCTTTTCTATGTCTCTTCTTCCTCAGGTTGTTTCCCTGTATGGGAGTCCTGATTACTGTCGTCAGCTGCCTTCCTCTATGGCAGTTTCCTATTATCATTTACTGCTTCAAATTCATGGATTTTCCCTTTTTATTCCAACTTTCCTCCAATCGAGATTCGGAGTTTAAGTCATCTGACAAATCATATGGGGAGTCAAACAGCCAGATGTTTGTCAGAGATGTGTGATAACATCTTTTCCAGGAAAAGTTTTACTTCCCTTCCTACGAATTTGACAGAAATGTGTTAAATTTTTTGCTAAAATATTACTTTAGTTCTTGATTGATTAAATATAATTATTCTCTACTCTCAAATTCTCACAGTTTGTTTGAAGATACATATAGCTTTTTAAAAACATGAAGGTCTTACTGACTGGGTGTTTCGTATCATATATTGAATGCAAAAGTATTAAGATTGGATATTTCATATTGTATTCTTTTCATAGTTCTCGATTGCCAGTTGGTTGCTTTATGATAACATTTTTCTTAATTTTAGAACATTATGTTATGGATATTCCATTAGCAAATACTAATAAATCATTAAGAGCTTACTTTATTTGTGTTATTGTTAAAATCCAGTCATCAAAAAATCCATTTTGTTAAAGGCTTGGTTCACTATGTTGGACATACATATCAAAAGACAGCTCAGTATTTCTAATCTGCCTAGAGATGTTAGGACATTGTATGGAAAACAATACAGTAATATGAAATACTGCTGCAGGAGATGAAGTTTCAAGTGACAAACTTGGGAAGAGGAAGACCTATTACAAGTGTTCGTCCTCTAAAGTCAGAAAAACTTCCTACAAGTGTATCAAATGTAACAATTCAATTAGTCTGGAATGTTGCAGAAAAGTTTGCATCATGTGCACAATAACAAAATGATTAAAAGTTAGAATTTATTCAGAAATTTCTTTAGTTTCTCCATTAGTTTTCAATAAATTTGAGTTTACTAATCATAATTTTGCTTTTTTATGGCCCAAAAAAATCAGAAATTTTTCGTATAGTAACAAATATGCAAAATGTGAAGTTACAAAATACAAGGTTTCTCAAACTGATGTTTCCAGTTATGTAGTAAAGACCTATGATTCAGTTTAAATATTAACAATAAATAAAAAGACACTGTTTACAATAGTTTTTACTAGTTTATTGATGAAATTTAGCTTTTAATCAGAAAGTTTTAAAAATATTGTTATTTTATTGTTTATTCAGAATAAATAAAATTAGTTTTGTTGTTTAGAACTTTAATTTGTAATGTTGTAACTTAATAAGATATAATCTAAGTACCTTATTAAGGTTTAATAATAACGATAAGATTTATTAATAATAATTTTTCAATATTCTAATTTTTTCTTAAATTTTCAAAAACCATTGTTAGTTTTTTTCAATTCATTTAACAAATTAATGAATATTTTTTTAAATGTCACAAAATAGAAATGCAAAAGATATAAAATATTAACGTAATGTCTTTTTATTACTTAAAGATCCTTTACCCTCAGTTCCCACATTATTTAAAGAAAAGATACTTGATAAATTCACATCAAAATCAACAAATCAATTTGGGAAATCAGACAGGTGAGATGTATAATTAGTAATACAGTATTTCCATTAAATGTAAGAAATTAGCATTTCAATTTTAGTCAACAAATGAAATAACATTAATATACCTATTTTCATTATACTGCCATTTATTTTTAATTTTTATTTTAACTCATGTAATAATTCTGCTTATATCTGAACACAAACTTTTTTTATACATAATGCATTTTCAAGAAATACAACTTTCAAACAAAGTCACCTCTGAACAATGGCTATTTTTATGTTCTCATCAATAGCCATTGTTCAAAGTTTGACTGTATATTGTTTTTATATATTGATTATTTATTTATTTTCTTTTATGATATAACAATAAACAATACTACATCCAACACACACCGTAACTTCAAAAGACTTACTTCTATTATAAACCAAAATGGTGCTTAATTCACTGTACTCTCTTTCACTAACGTTTTCGAATCTTTCGATTCTTCCTCGGGTGAAAAATGGGCAAATCAGTTAACATTCGATTTAGCCGATCTTTTTTGAAAATTCTGAATATGGAACATCTCCGAAATTCGTGCAATTGTCATCATCCTTTGCGCATGCGCCATTGTGAGCCTACGTTTCATCTTGTTATGTGTCATATATCAGGGTTTGCCACGCTACTGATAATGAAATTTCATTTGTTGTTTATACAATTGTTACCCTGAGTTGCTTTGTGTATATAAATCGCTTCCATCAAATGCAAATAGTGTGTCTGGTGCGTGGTGTATATTATCCTGGCTTGATCAAATAACGGTTGTATCTCAGGGTCCGTGACGTACTGTGCTAAGGCGGTTGTCGGCTTCTTGTGGAAAATGTCAGCTTTATGTTCTTTAATCCTCACTCCTAAAGATCTTTTCGTGGAGCCGATATATAACAGGTCTCCATCGCATCTGCGATCTTTAATTGGGATGCTGTATACTCCAGCCATCATGTCTTGTAGCGGAGTATCTTTCGCATTACTAAGCAGTCAAAATAATGTAGGACATCTTCTAAACACGATGGAAATTTGTCTTTTCTTAGCTATCTCTTTATATAGTTTTTCCAAATACAGATTATATGTTATAGAGCAGGGGTGTCCAACCTTTTTGTTTCTTTGGGCCACATTGGAAAAAGTCATGGGAGTTTTGGGCCACAACTATAATATATATACTTGTGGCCCAAGTATATTTTGGCCCAATCCTTAAATATACAAGTATATTTAAGAACTAACATGTCTAGATTATAGTAATAAGCATTAAAACTTTATTACGAATAAGGATATTTTAAAAAATTACTTCTACAGACACTTTCAATTTTTATTTAGAAATAAATAAATTCATTTATTATAAAGGAGATAAATAAAAATTTATTTGAAAAACACAAATATTTGTTTTATTTGAGTCTCTAATTAATAAAAACTGATGAAACATCATTTTAAAGTGCATTTTTATTCAACTAATATATTTATAAATAATGTGTAACCCAAAAATTAGCCAATGCGTCAAATGATAATTTTTACGCCAAACTAGTAAAAATTTAGCCAAATCTTGCAACGCTGAAAGGAGTACTAAATAAAGCTGGAGTTGGGACTCAAAGGATTATAGACCCAAAGCAAGAAAAGAAGAGAAAGGACCAAAGATAAAAAAGTGAGGAAAGTAGAAAAATTAAGGGTCAATATCTGCATAACAAAAGGTACATTTAACCTTTCTCATTTAATAAGAAAGAGCTTTATTCGTATATTTAACGTTTCTCATTATCATTTTATCTTTTGGCCTTTCTCTCTCTCCTTTCCCCGAATTTGAGTCTATACTCCTTTGAGTCACAACTTCAGCTTTATTTAATATACCTTCCTCATTCACACATTTCAAAGTATTTGAAAATGTTTCCTTTCCACTCAAAACTAAAATATATATAAAGGTTTACTGCTTTGTGAAACGTCTTTTTTGAATTTGTGCCGTTGAAATAAATAAATAAATAAAATTAAATTAAAAAATCTGTCGGTTTTGTTTACACGTTTATTGGGCCGCATTGGAACTTGCCTTGGGCCGCATGCGGCCCGCGGGCCGCGGGTTGGACACCCCTGTTATAGAGCAAGAACAGAAGGAAAGAGTGTCTATAACATATAATCCATATTTGGAAAAACTATATAAAGAGATAGCTAAGAAAAGACAAATTTCCATCGTGTTTAGAAGATGTTTTACATTATTTCGACTGCTTAGTAATGCGAAAGATACTCCGCAACAAGACATGATGGCTGGAGTATACAGCATCCCAATTAAAGATCGCAGATGCGATGGAGACCTGTTATATATCGGCTCCACGAAAAGATCTTTATGAGTGAGGATTAAAGAACATAAAGCTGACATTTTCCACAAGAAGCCGACAACTGCCTTAGCACAGTACGTCACGGACCCTGAGATACAACCGTTATTTGATCAAGCCAGGATAATATACACCACGCACCAGACACACTATTTGCATTTGATGGAAGCGATTTATATACACAAAGCAACTCAGGGTAACAATTGTATAAACAACAAATGAAATTTCATTATCAGTAGCGTGGCAAACCCTGATATATGACACATAACGGGATGAAACGTAGGCTCACAACGGCGCATGCGCAAAGGATGATGACAATTGCACGAATTTCGGAGATGTTCCATATTCAGAATTCTTTCAAAAAAGATCGGCTAAATCGAATGTTAACTGATTTGCCCATTTTTCACCTGAGGAAGAATCGAAAGATTCAAAAACGTTAGTGAAAGAGAGTATAGTGAATTAAGCACTGTTTTGGTTTATAATAGAAGTAAATCTTTTGATATAACAATATTTTTTATTATTATTACTAGGTAGCCAGTTAATTAAAACTAAAAGTAATAATTAAAACTCTGGCCTTTATGCCAAGACCAAAAGTAAAACTAAAATTAAAAATAAAATTAATATATACAGATAGTTTTTATTAGAAATATAATATTTTGGAAATTGTGGATAAAGTTCTTTGTTGTTCATCTTGATTGATTTGGTTATACAGTACTATCTCGACTTACGCTACCCTGACTTATGTGAACCCGGAGTTACGCGATTTTCAAATCTCGTTGATTCGTGTTTTGTTTGAGCATCATGCAACTCTTGATTACTCACCCCTACACTGTTGTTCAACTTACATGTTAGGACATGTCGTGCTGAATCGACACATAGCTACAATTTATTTCTGTGTTTGTTATATCTACGGAGACTTGAGAGACTCTATGTGGTGATTTCTTGTAACCGTGAACGAATCAAAAGACCAGATAAGATTAAAGAGAACATTCATTAGCTTACATACATCCAACTTGGATTTTACACAAATTGAGAAATTATACCCCGAGTTACGCGAATTCGNTAGGTAGCCAGTTAATTAAAACTAAAAGTAATAATTAAAACTCTGGCCTTTACGCCAAGACCAAAAGTAAAACTAAAATTAAAAATAAAATTAATATATACAGATAGTTTTTATTAGAAATATAATATTTTGGAAATTGTGGATAAAGTTCTTTGTTGTTCATCTTGATTGATTTGGTTATACAGTACTATCTCGACTTACGCTACCCTGACTTATGTGAACCCGGAGTTACGCGATTTTCAAATCTCGTTGATTCGTGTTTTGTTTGAGCATCATGCAACTCTTGATTACTCACCCCTACACTGTTGTTCAACTTACATGTTAGGACATGTCGTGCTGAATCGACACATAGCTACAATTTATTTCTGTGTTTGTTATATCTACGGAGACTTGAGAGACTCTATGTGGTGATTTCTTGTAACCGTGAACGAATCAAAAGACCAGATAAGATTAAAGAGAACATTCATTAGCTTACATACATCCAACTTGGATTTTACACAAATTGAGAAATTATACCCCGAGTTACGCGAATTCGACTTACGCGGTTATCGCTCGGTCCCACCTATCACGTAAGTTCGGGGTGTTACTGTATTTCATCTTGGCAGTCAGAGTTGAGTCTCTATTTATACCACTTATTTGTAAAGTGTTAGTTTTGGTTTCAGGTGATGGAACATTTTGCTTTTAATACATATGTAATATATTTTGTTATTTAAAAATATCAAATAAAATTATTATTTTTTTGAAGTTTTTTTGTTAAATTTTAGACTATTATTACAGATGCAAACACTATTGCAAATCATTATGCCCATTATCATCATTACCAACCACTGTCTTATGCCTTTGGGCTTCATAACTTCTATAATAATAAATTACCAAACAATTTGACACTAGAGGGACTTGGCAATGCATCCGCACGGTAAGTAGCGGTTGTGGGTTCGAGTCCTGCTCCAGGTCGATTCTTTTCTTCCAGTTTAATCTAAATTATTTAATTAAAATTATAATTATTAAATTTAATATGAGATGGTGCCTAATGCCTCTCTCTAGTGTCAAATTGTTTGGTAATTTATTATTATTATAGCTGTTATATAGCCTGATGGCATATGGCAATGGTTGACTTTAGTTTAAAATTTTATTAACTACAATGTAACAAAGTCAATGCAGTTTGTATTAAGTTCTTTTACAAGGAATGAAAACCTTATTGGTCTGAATTAGTTGTCATGATTGGATTCTAATTACATAAATTTATAAAATATAGGTATTAATTACAATTAATCTAATTATCATTAATTTAATTAATGGAAAACAATTTAACAAAAGAGAAACTCAACCAATTGTCTTGAGCTTTTTTCAAATATACAAATAATATAAATAATTAAGTGTAATAATTATTTTGCTTTTTCACAGTTGTATTTATTTGTCTCTCTATTTGGATTAATGTAATTTTTTAAATACTTAAAATAGTTAAGTAAATATTATGTAGTTCAGTATTTCTCTTTATGTATGAACTAAATATACTATTTTTCCCACTTTAATTCCTTTTTTTTTCTAAATTATGTCAAATAAAGGTTATCTTATCTGCTTTATCAGTAATTTAGTACCAAGTGCCATTCATTTTGGAATTTAATTGTTTTACCAAGAATTGACAAAGAATAAATAAATATTTAATTTTATATGTTACAAAATGAAAATTTAATATGTCAAATATTTCTGAGAGTGTAAAAGACATTATTACTGAAAGGTATTAAGGGTTATAAGTTTAAGTATTAAGGGTTATTAAGCATCTCGGGTCCGGACGGCAAGGGGTTAAAAACAGTGCATTTGTATGAAATGTTACTTAAAAATTGAAAGAATATCAATTTCTAAGTAACATTTAACTATGTAAATTGTATTCCAAATATTGTCTATAAGAATCATTTTAAAAGAAACATGAATGAATATTATGTTATAAAAGTCATAGTCAATGTAATGTTGAATATGAAATATTTGTTAAGATTAATGCAGTTGCCAAGTTTGATATATAAATGTTTCATTTAACTAAATTAATTTAAGCAGTTAAACAGTACATCAAAAATTAATGCATTCCATTTCACTTGAAATTTAATATAAAATTTCTAATAATAATTTTGAAAATCTGTTGTTTTAAAATTTATTAATGTAACCATCTAATTAAGGCCTCATATTTCTTAAAGTTTAGTAATGAATCTCATATTTTTTTTTACATCTTCAAAGTTACATTTCAGTAAATGCAATTTAGGATGTTTTTTCTATATAATTTAGCTCTCTGTTTTGTTTTTTTTTATTAAATTTTTTCACAATTATAAACATATATTTTAAGAAACCAATATTAAAAATTAAGTTAAATATTATACATCTTTACTGTAAGTTTCATGTATAGAGTGCTTAAATTAACCTATCCCATTTTGAAATGTTTCTCTGTTGCATGTGGCCGCCATGTTGAATTTTTGTCACTATTAAGCCTAACAAAACATTTTAATTAAAGCTTCTTCAAAAACTTCAGACACTAAGGCGTTAAACACAATTAAAATATTTTATTCTTGCGAGCGCTTTCGACGTAAATATGCACGTCGTCCTCAGGCAAATCAAACGAATAGAGAATTCGAATCATACATTTGAATTTGAACATTAACGATATTAGCCGTTTTTTAATTATAAATAAGAATTAAATTTTAGAATTAAAACATTTAAAAATATTTAAAATTGGCACGCATGCGTTTTAAATTTCGATAAGAATGGCTATTAATTATTTTATAAACGCGCAAAACACTGGCGCGCATGCACCTTAACATGTATTACATAATATCCAATTAGGATGGCGATTAAGTATAAATAAATTTTACATTTTAAATTAAAACTAAAAATTAAAGACAAAACCTTTGTAAATACGTATAAAATTAAAAGTTAAAAACAAATACTTTTGTAAATACGTATAAAATTTTTTGGCACGCATGCGCCTTAACATAGACTGAGAAATTGAGCAGAATAGATCCGTAAGTGCTAGTTTGCATTAATATTTAAATGTTAAAGACTAAAACATGGGACATAACGAGGCCGACACGTATGCGCTTTGAGTCATGTAGAAGATGGGGGAAAGGAATGCAAAATTATTATTGATTTTTTAACTGCCTGTATATATTAATCCAGATATCCGGCAATTCAAGGGTGGGGGAGTTGCACGGGGAGAGCAGTTTTGTGAGGATGGCCTCCCAAATATATATTAAGCTCCCTTCATCACAGCGTTTGAGTATTTCCACCCGATTCCAAAGCGCTATGTGATGTTGTTGTATCACCAATTTGGAAAGTTCCGTGTCGCAATTGCCAAGTGCCACCGAACGTTGGTGTTCAGATATACGGGTAGCAAGCATTCTGGTGGTCGCTCCTATATAATTGGTGCATAGTCCTGATATTGGATTCTGCAAGGGAACGGAGTATACACCAGATTTTTCCAGNCATGTTAAGGTGCATGCGCGCCAGTGTTTTGCGCGTTTATAAAATAATTAATAGCCATTCTTATCGAAATTTAAAACGCATGCGTGCCAATTTTAAATATTTTTAAATGTTTTAATTCTAAAATTTAATTCTTATTTATAATTAAAAAACGGCTAATATCGTTAATGTTCAAATTCAAATGTATGATTCGAATTCTCTATTCGTTTGATTTGCCTGAGGACGACGTGCATATTTACGTCGAAAGCGCTCGCAAGAATAAAATATTTTAATTGTGTTTAACGCCTTAGTGTCTGAAGTTTTTGAAGAAGCTTTAATTAAAATAAAAGTTGGCGTGACATCCAACCTCAATACGTTTTTACTACTCCTAACAAAACATTTTTATCAAAATAATAATCCTGGCTACTGTATTGTTAAAAATTATTTTTTTATTTTGCACAAACAAAATAAATATATTAAAAAATATAAAACAAAAAAAATTATATTTTGAAAAATTATGACGCATAACAACATCTAGTATCAAAAACGTTCCGATGCAGAAATGAGTATATTCAGGGTCAACGGGTCAGGTCAAATGAGGTCAACACAAAAATATTTGGGAATAACACAGGACAGGTTAAAGTGGCACTACTCAACCAATTTATGAAGCAGATGTTAATAAATATAGGATGGTCATGAAGTAATTTGACCAATTAGTGGCAATTGCAAGAGCACAGAAAGCAAGGAATTCATTGAAACTTTTGCAGAATATAGTTAATGCAACTGTATATCAAAAATTTCCAATAGAAACACCATGAATTCGTGATGTCAAGAGATTCTGTATGATGGAAAAGAAGCATAAGGTGTTGTAATGGTGTGTGTACTACAATAAAAAACAACAGAGATATCGTTGTTTGAACAATTTGAAAGGGCTTACACAATGAGATAGGTTATATGTCAATTTTAAGTTCCAATTATGCTTTAAAGTTGATTCACTAGCTGGTGGCAGGCAACTGACCCACCAAACTGACAATCTCTTTTCACATATTCACAACAAATGACACCAAGTGTTTAACTACACTCCCCACAGTTTTTACAATCCTGGCCTAATTAAGATTTAACTTTTTAATAAATACTTGCAATTAAGATACAGTTTGATCTTCAGTTTAATATAAACTACAAGAAGCCAGAAAGAATTAAATTTTTATATATAGTCACAAAATTAAAATTTTTATTATTAGAATGATTCACTACATTAATCTGTTAATAATTGAATTGTCAATTGAATTGTTAATTCAATTGTCATTGAAATAATTTATTTTTAACTAGTTAAATAGTTAAAAATAAATTATTTCAATGACAATTGATTAGAGATGAAAGCCAACAGAATTATAAATATAGTTGAACCTGTCTATCTCAAATCACAGAACAAGAAAAAATGTGAGATAGACAAGTTTTGAGAGATAAAGGGTCCTACACAGTAATAGGTTTGATTTGAAGTTTGATACTTTATTAATACAATAGCAAATATAGTACATACATGCATAAAGTATAAATAAAACATTTCTGACATACCTTAAAAGAAATAGTTGTCAATAGTTTCTGACACTTGACTTTCTTTAACCAATAAGGTATAATCCAAACTTGTAGCCACTCAGAGAAAAGCATTGTTAATTGCAACTGTGTACTGTATTGCAAGAGATAGTTCTCAACTACAGTTTAGACTATTAAAATGTAGTAGTCACCGAGCTTTGAATTTGTAATCAACATTTCAGTCCATAATTTGAGACTTAGTGGTTTTGGAGAAAATTATCTAAGATAAACATGGAAAATATATAGAATTTATCAGGGGGAAAAATAAATTTTAAGATAAAGGGGTTTTCGAGATAGACAAGTTCAACTGTATAGCTTCTGAATTGGCAATATTAAAATCTGCACTAAGTAATTATATAGTAGTTCTAATTGTAGTGGCCAGCATTTAATGAATAAAACATTATAAAATGAACATAAAAATGAGTATTTTTATGTTAATTTTAATATTTTTAGGCCTTATCAGTTTTTATAAACTGGAAATTCCTTCTTGTCCATTAAAAATTGATGAAACTGAAATATATAGGTGAAAGAGCTTTTTTTATGTATGGATTAAGGATTTTACAGTCTTTTTCATTAAGCATTTTCTCTGAGATTAGAATTATGATTATTTAGGATACTCTATGTAATATATAAGATTTTACCATTATCTATATTCATTTGTCTTGGATCTCTTTTGACTAATGGAATTATTTTAATTTTATATTATGTTACATAAATATCATTATTCCTAAATTAGTAATGTTGAATTTTTATTATTATTTCAGATCATTTCCTAATAAAATGAAAGATAAATTAGCTGCTTATGCATTAGTTCTTGCTTTATTTGTGGATGAATATGAAGTGAATTTAAATCAAATTCAACCAGATCTGAAGATGCCTATAAACAGGTTTGTATTTAATAATAAATATTTATAGAATATAATATCTATAGAAGAATTATGAGGAAATAATATAATATATACTTTTATTAATAATTTTTTTCTTTTATAATATTTATATTTATTAGACTTAAATTGTCAGTGGTATTAAAATTATATAAAACTACTAAAGTTTACTAATAATAATTAAAAAAAAAATTATAGATAATCATTTTATATATAACTGATAGATACTTTTAATTTTTCATATTGATTTACATTTTTCAATAGCATATTATTACATACTATTAAAAATGTTATTAAACATATCGTTATTTCTTCATATAGGCAATAACAATGTGATTATATTTAAAGGACAATCACAACACAGGTCATAGGTTGACACACTGATATTCTTCATGCTATATTTCATTTTTCTCCAAAATGTACATTTTGGACTTAAAAGTCCTTCAGTTGGAATAAGTGCTACCATAGAATAATTCAGTTGGAATAAGTGCTACCATTTTTTTGAAGAAAAAAATTTTTTTCCACTATATTACATTATAAAAGAGAGAAAATATATTTTTTAAGAACATGAGTTTACTTACATTATAGTACAGAACAAATATCAAACAATGATGTTCATACTTTAGCAATGTTAAACATGTTAACATGTTAAAAAACACACTTACATGAAACAATACAATACAGTTCACAAAGATAAGACATTTTGAGTTTTTCCAACACATTGTTATCTCAGAAGGTAAAAAAAAGAAACATTAAATATATTTGTTTATATTATAATTATGTCAGAATGAGCTAAAAGATCAAAGACCCTGTCAACTGTGACAAGTGTTTCCTGATTGAATTTCTAAATCATAAGCAACAATAGACACAGATAGGAATTGTAAAATCTTAAAAAGTTATGACAGGCTATTCAAAACAAATCGTGAGATCTAAAGAGCATTGGCATTGTATTTTTTTATGATAATGCATGACCACACATTGCCACTCAAATGAGTCTATTGCTGAACAATTCTGGTGGAAAATATTCTATCAACTGCTCTATTCGCTTGTGCTAACGATAGATCTGACATCTAGTGGTATTAGTGCAAACTACATAATGGTGGCTGCTATGGGTATAAAGTCTATCTGTTAGAATTAGAAAGTGTTCAACCTACAATGGTAAATAATAAGTATTGCTGTAAATTTGGATGTAACTCTAAAGGTTCATCAAACTCAGTACATATGCGCACATTCCCAAAAAATAAATTACTGCGAAAAAGTGGGAAATAAAACTGAAGTTATCAGTTCAGTTTCACCAACATCTAATTTTGCTGAGCTTAAAATTCTTTTATTTTTACAAACGTTTTCAACCTGTCTAATATAGGCCATTGTTATGTTTAATATTATAAATGTTCCAAAATGGAATGTATCGTTTTTGAATATTTTACATATTTAAAATTCAAACAAATAATTTAACTTTAAAATAAATTGAAAAAAGTGTGTATATTAAATAAATAAAAAGTAAATAAACAAATAAAACATAGAAAACAAAGCTAACTATAAAGAAACATGATTTAAGGGTTTTTTAAGACCCATTTTTTTTTTATTATATACTTCCATACTGTTGAAAGCGCATTAGCATCCCTAGCATTTAGCAACGGTTTTTCATTTTACTTTTATAAATTTCCACCTTTTCCATCTCCAACGCAATGAATGCAGAGTGCACCATTTTAATGACTAGCCTCTTCCCATTTTACAATCGCTCCTTTAGTCCATGCCATAATCACTAATATTGTGTTGTGTCATTTGTCAACGTTGTGTCTATGTTCTCACATACATTCTGCTAGGTTTCTTCTAGTCACACCCACATAATCTTTTTGATTCCTAACTGTTGATTTTCAAATGAGATTTTATATATCCCAGCTTTCTCTTCCTTTTTTATGCTATCTTTATCATTTCGTAGCAAGCTATAGATATTGGGTGCTCTTTTTCTTATAAAAACTCGAGAATGATCCATAAAAGGGCACCCAATATCTATAGCTTGCTACAGAACGATAAAGATAGCGTAAAAAAGGAAGAGAAAGCTGGGGTATATAAAATAAAAATATATAATAGAAAAAAGAATGGGATTTAAAAACTCTTAAATCTTGTTTCTTTATAGTTAGCTTTGTTTTCTATGTTTTATTTGTTTATTTACTTTTTATTTATTTAATATACACACTTCTTTCAATTTATTTTAAAGTTAAATTTTGTTTAAATTTTAAATATGTAAAATATTCAAAAACAATACATTCCATTTTGTAACATTTGTAATATTAAACGTGACGGTGGCCTATATTAGATAGGTTGAAAACATTTGTAAAAATAAAAGAATTTTAAGCTCAGCAAAATTAGGTATTGGTGAAAGTTAAGTGAATTAGTTGATAAGAGGTGGATAGATACGAAGTTATGTTTAAGCATTTCCTCTTTTTATTAGACATCTTTTTCTATCACCCACATATTCTAAAATGTCACAAAGTGTAATCAACATGACTTAAACAACTACGAAATCAACTAGGATTAATGTTGGACACAAATGCGGATAAAACGTTTTGATTACAGAGAGAAAAGATATTAAAAAGACAAGATGCATGTAACTCTCGTATGTTGCCACGTACACTATATCTTTTGTGGCAGCCATTTTGGTTGACTCATACGCCACCTATATATACTGGCGCAAGCGAATAGCCTCAACATCAAATCCACCGACTTCCACCTGTTTCTGCATTTGGAGGATTTTTAGTGGGACAGTTAAATAGCAATGAAGACTAATCATCCAAAATTAAAAATCTGGCAGCAGACTTCTTTAATGAGGAGTAAAAATGACCTGTATGATGATATGAAAAGTTTCTCAATCTTGGAAGTAACTATGTCGAAAAGTAGATAAATATATGTGTAAATTTTTTATGACAAAAAATGTTCAAAATGTTTTTTCTGTTTTTTTTTTTTCTTTTTATGAATGAGAATCCACTTTCCAAATACCCTTCATACTTTATTTGTTCTCTGAAATAAAGTATTTATATATATACAATTTGTTAAAAATGACAAAATCATAAAATTGAACTTGTGATGTATATGATAAAATATTTTTTTTTTCCTAAGTTTCTATTTCTATTTTTATTATTAAGAATATTTTATATTAATATGTAATTCAAAAAAAATTTTTTTTAGGTTAGCCACTTTGGCAGGAGCCCTTGGATGTAAAGTTATTATTCACAAAGACCAGCTAACAAAAAGGATAACAAAAACTGCAGTTTTGACTATTCCATTATATGTATTAATTGAAAAGGCACAAAAAAGAAGAAGAACTTAAAAGTTACATAAATGATTAATTTGATTTGTAAATTTGTTATAAATAATGAATTATGATTCATTGCCAAGGATATTTTTCTGTTAAGACTTTAAATAAAAAGCAGATACTAAAAATATTGGAATAAATGTTAAATGGTTACAAATTTTCTAAATATTTTTGAAACATTTTATTTTATTCTTATAGTTGAATCAAAGTCTAAACAAATGATAGCACTAAATTTTTAGCCTTGTGTTTAATCAAAGAATCATTTTTATTATGTCAGCCAGATGGCTATGCTATAAGTTGTTCTTTCACTGAAAAATTCTGGTTCAAATCCAATCTAATCTTTGTAATTTTTTTAATCAATAGTTCATATCAAAATGTTATTCATTCAATGTTAGTTAATGCTCTCGAGAATTAAGCCTGTCTAATTTGAACAAAAATGAAACCAGTACTTGGCTAAAAGTCTATTGTTCTGAAAAAGTGTTAAAGAAAAATCTTTGATCCAATCTATTTTTTTGACAGAAGGATTGATAACCTTTAAAATCCTAAAAGAAAAATTATATTTTTAAATTATCAACCAAAAAACTGATCAACACACTAGAACCTTTTTATATCCCAGTAAGAACAAATTTAGTTGAAACTAACGTTTTTGACCATAATTGTGGTCTTCCTCAGGCTTTTGACCAGTACAATTTGAACATTGGGAACGCATCGAAAAACATGTTTAAACTTATTTTAAAATTCTGAAATATAAATTTATATTAGAAAAAACTGACATAATATAAATTTATATCTCACTCTGTTTCTGTTCTTTAGTTTTTAATATATTAATAATAAAATAAATAAGATAAACATGGTTAATGTTATTCATCTTTCTGATAAGCATGTAACTAAGAATGACTTTTATTACAGAATTATTATCATTTATGTGCATAATTATAAGCAAAAATAAATTAGGAGCATGTCTTTATATTAATTATAATTATTATTTTTGTTTTCATAACACTTTATTTCCTCAATTCTAAGACGTGCAGGTTTGAAATAAAAATTTAAGTTTTTTCTATAAAATAAAAAATTTTAAAAAACTTTTGTTAAGTAACAAGTTAGAATAACTGTACAAATGATATGAAATAGATAATATTTGGCAGCTCTATTTCTATGCTCTTTGCCTATATAAATACAATAATATACATTATAAACATAAAAAGGAGTTTAAATTGATGCTCATTACCAGCAAGATCCATTTGAACTGATATGACTGTTGAGCAATATAGACAAAAATGTCTGTTAATGGTGCCTAATGCACCATGTTGTCTACTTGCAATGACTTGTGATTGTTGCTTTGAAGCAAATAAACTCGCACCTTAAATTACTCCAGCAAGTATTATTTAATGAACAAAAATGTTTTAGACCCAGTTTTTGAATACTCAACGGTCACTGAACGTACAAAAATTCAATGACCATTGAGTATTCAACAACTGACGGCTCATCAACTGGGTCTAAAACGTTTTTGTTCATTAAATAATACTTAATGGAGTAATTTAAGGTGAGGGTTTTTTATCTTGAAGTTTTTCCTCGAGTTCCTTATTAATTTTTTAATAAAGTTTTGAACAAATAAAAATGGATTTAAAAAAGTAAGTCTTAGAATTCTGGAAGTACAGATGTAATACATGGAGGAAATATTTTTAACAGTTGATGCCAAATTTGATTTATTTGAAATTTTATAGTGTTAATAATCAATATTAGTTTTTAAAATAATAACTATCAAAGAATTTATTTCCATATGGACATAAAGAAGGAAGTAAAAACTTTACAAAAAGGTAATATTCTTCCCAGCTAACATGGTTAGAGTTGCAATCTCAGTTTTTTGGATATTTCACTATGGATACAAAATGAAAACTAAATTCATTATAGATACTTTTGGAGTCCCTAAGGACACCTAAAGTATCCTTAATGAATTTAGAAAATTTACATCATATAGAACGGTCACCAAACTATGGCCCGCTTCACACTGTACCACAAATGAGGTAAAATGTAATTATTTATATGGAAATATCGTAGTTTGCAGATAAACTTACTATGCTTAAAAAATTAGAATAATTGTAAGTATAAATGCAGAAGTCCAATCTGATTTTTACATCTGACAATAATAATTTTTAGGAAAATCAGCGAAATAAAAAATTTGGCGACTTTAGGTATCGGAGTGCTTTTTGTATAAGTATCTTCTGCAATGAAGTTTGTATGAAAAGCAATTATGAGCTTGTTACAGTGATTGTGTTTGTGTATTGGTTAAGAAATATGTTGGTTGTCTTTATTTTTTGTGTATTCAGTATACTATATTGAACAAAATGGTTATGCGGCCCGCGCTCGTCGTTCTCTTGGTTATCTGGCCTGCTGTGAAAAAAGTTTGGCGACCTCTGATATAGAACATGAGAAATGAAGGGATAAAAGTTTGGAAATACATCTTTATGGCTCTAAAACCAGCTTGTAGAGCCATGGAGATAGCTTCTAAAACCAGCAGATAGAGCTATGAACTTTACTTTTATGGTCTGTTCATCTCTAATCTCAGAATATTTAAAACTAATTTCAATTTGCTTTAATAATATTTTAGATTCTTAACTTACTTCATAACTGTTTTTTTGCTGTGTATGCTGTGACAATTAAGATTTTTTAAAATGGAATATGATAATGTTTTCATGCAATTTTCTCTTACTTTGTCCTAAGCTAATGCTAATGTTGCTGAAATAAGCAAATGAAACATGTGCTAATGCAACAAACTTTTTCATATAACACAACTGTTTAACACAAAATCAAGTTAACATTAAAATTTTTTTATTTTTCAGCTGTTTACTGTGTTTTTTAACACAATAAACTTTATTCAGATAGTTCTGTATCATTTTTTAGTTAAAATTTTTATTTTTTGGCTTAAAAAAATGAGCAAGTATCCTTACATGGTGAACCAAATGAAAGATCAAACTCTAAGTATCCAATAATATAACCAGTATGAACAGCAATCAATTTAAAAAGCCAGATATTATACAGCAGTTGGTGTAGCTTTATAGCAATCAATTTCATACCCATCTTGAATAAGTTTCCACATTTCGTGTATACTTAGTATTGCTAGTAATAACTTCCTTCCAAGCATGACTGGATCTTTGTACAAAATAAGAAGGGAAAAATTTCAATGTTTTACAATGTTTTAAAACATTATTTGAAGTTATAATCTTAGTTCATATCACTCTTTTGTTTTTGCTTTCTGCTTTATTATTTATGCTGGTTTAATCTTGTCCCATTCCTTCTTTCAGGGCATAAGGAATTGTATAATCTATGATATTGGATAAGATTTCTTACTTTCTTAGAAATGCCGCAAATACTGTGAAATGCAGCAGAGCAGATCCTTATATTGTATCCAAGTGAATTTTGGATCTGAAAACAATCTAAATGTGTTACTAGGAATTTTCTAAACCATTATTTAAAAAAATTCCCTATGGCAAAATGATACAAATGTGTTCAAATATACTTATCCTGTATTATTTAGTCACAGTATGTTTAACTCCATTAGTGTCATCAGCTTTTCTAGATCTTTCTAATGGCTGACTTGAAATAAAGGAAAGAATTGTGGTACATCTCTGCACAGATTATTATGAAAGTGGATTATGTCATCATTAGATTATATACTCCACAAAAACTAGTACCAGTAGATTTTTTTTTATGGTTACAAGAAATCTTTGGGGTGGTTTGAAACCTTTCACATTCATCAGAATTTTTCTTCAGTTTCTTCCACTTGATGGGATTTCTTTTCATTTTTCTACTTTTTCCTTCTGAAAGTATTACTGCTTTGTCTTCTGAATTACCATTATCCATTACTATATAAAAATACCATATTTAAAATAATACTTATGAATAGTTAAAGAAAAATAACTTGAGAATTGATACACTCATGTCCTAAAAAATAAGCATAATCATCCAATTCTTGATAGAACAAATAAACAGCAGAAAATTTATGTTAATGTTCCCAGATAATAGTGCTTGGGTTGCAGTCAAATGTTTCATTAGAAAAACATAAGTTTATGCAAAATATGCAGGTTCCTTATAGCATGGCATTGTTTTTGTTTCAGTTTAACCATCAAGAACAGTTTCTTGCTGTTTTACTGTATGATATTGACAGTGATATTGTCACAAAGACACCACATAGATGAAAGGAATAATTATTGGAAGGCTAGAAGTAGGCTAGTCTCAGACAGATGTGTCCACATTCAGAATGTATAAGATTCTTATATCCAGGCTTTTGGCCAGATTTCAATAAACAGGATGTTGGATATCAACCAGTAACAGAATGTCCAAGAATTACTACTAATCAGGATCCCTATTTAATGTTTACAGCACATTGTAACAGAGGAATGTCTGGTAGGCAGTTTTTTGCAGTTCTGTCTACAGCCTCTGGTATTAAGAGTTTTACAACAAATTGTATACAGAAAGCTTCGGGCAAATGCCAGAAGCCCAGTGTGTTGTGTTCCATTGACCATTGTGCATGTGTTTAAGATGGTGTCAAGAACATTGACATTGGACTTTGAATGAATGGGACAATGTTCTGTTCATTGAAAAGTTCAGGTACAGTCAGTCTACAGAACAATTCTCACTGATTTAGAATTGTTGACTGAATTATCATGGCCTGTGGTGGTATTAAGCATAATGAGTCATGATACTATAAACCAGTCCAATTACTACAAAAATGTGAAGCTCAGTTTGGCCAAACTGAGCTCCATATTTGTTGTAAGGAATGTCATTACTGCAATAAGGTACATACAAAATTTTGGAATTTCAAGTGAGACTTTTCCAAGGTGCTGTGGATGCAGATTTCACTTTAATGAATGATAATGACCATGAATGTAAGGCTAAGCAAGTCACTGTCATTTATTGACAATGAAGATATTCATCACATAGGATGGCAAGCAAGATCTCGGGACCTAACTCCTGTAGAACTTGTGGGATGCTCTAGGAGATGAGTTGCATCCCATCAGCTTCCTCCAAGAACATTTCAGAACAGAGCTCATAAACATTATAACCAGCAATCACTATATGTGTGCGTTTAGGAGTCAACCACACGCATATTAATAATTTCCTGTGTAAAAAGATTTACAACAATGCTTAGTAATTTTTCTTATTTTTGAATTGATGTAATTTAAATTGTTTTGTTGCATAAAGAATACAATATTAAGTTTATTGTATGTTAAGTTTCACGTTGTTGTTATCATTAGTTCCTGATATAGGTCAATTAATGGTTGTGCTTACTTTTTGAACATGAGTGTACTCACTACTTACTGCTTAATATATAAAGCAGTAAGAAACACTTTATCAGAAAATTAAAAACATAGCTGAAACACTTTTTATATTTAAAAAAAATCAGTAAATGGTATGTAAATTCTTACAACACCAATATTAGTTATAAAGTTTATTTATAAATGTATGACATGCATATATGGATTTTTTTTGAGGATTTAATAATATAATTCAAAATGAGAATAACTATAGTTCATTCTTTAATTAACTGTATACTTCTGGCATGGAAATGATACAAAAAATTGCTTTTATCAGCAGTAGTAAAGAACAAATTAAAACATTATTAACCACTAATATAGCAATGATATTTTCTGCAAAACTCTCTCAATAGTATTTTGTCATTTTTATGCAAATTTAAGCTATACCTACGTCAAGTACACTGCTACTAGGTGCAAGATGACAATGGAAGTGATCATATTGAGATGCTTTATTGCTAAATTTTACAATAATAATTACTATTTTAAATTATTAGCAAGCTAACACAACTTTCTAAACAATTGTGGACCTCAGCTTTTGGGTTGGCTTAATAAAGGAAGGAGGCGTTATGGCAAGAAAGTTGTCTGTAATAATTATAATTGTTTGTTAGAACAAATCTTGGTTGGGTGATTTTCAATTAAATTGAAAATCACCTAACCCAAGAATTGTTCCTGGATATTGTATAATATATAATTAAATATTCAATGGCTATTAACACAAATTACAACTAAATACAATTTAAGGTCACTTCAAGTAATCTATAAATGAAAATCAAGGAAATGATGTAATTATGGTACATATTCATTTTATGTACCTTTATTTTATTGTCTTTTTTTCATATGTAAATAATGTATTGCCAGCTATTTTATATTTGAACAGAAAATAATTTAATTAAAATTAATTATATACAAACAATGATGTGAAAGCATTAAATAAACACAACTTTTCATAACTAGGAAAAAATCTTTAATATGAAACAAAGTGTAAATATTTCAAAACTTAACAAATTTTTTACATACTGTACAAGGAATGCCAGTATCTATATACACATTTACAATACATAAAATTTCATAAAATACATTACTGGCCATTAATGTAAACTTAGTTTTTGGAATGACATATTTATAATACTGAATGTTTTGTACTCTAAAAAAAATTACTTTGCTATAGCTACAGCATTTACAAACACTGATATGTATACTTATTGCATACATGACTACAGTTAAAACAAACACAGCTAAGTTACAAATATTGACAGCAATAGTAATGGGATAAAATATTTTAAAATGATCTATTATTGTATAGATCTTTACTAAATGTATTCTCTAATTATTAATAATTTTAAAACTAACATTCAAAACTTCAACTACCACAAGATCTAAATTTTAATAAAATCCACTCAACAATAAATATGTTAACAAATTAAATCACAATGAAATGTTATTTCGTTAAAATAAATATTTCTCAATTACATTCACAATATAACATGCATTAATTTTAATTAAATATTCAACGATCATTTATCAATACTATTACGCCAGTCAAAATTGCAAAACCAAGGAAGAAAAACAGGACTTTGAGCATTCTATCTTTCTTATTCGAAAGTTCTACCGGGAGAAAATCTTGAAAGATTACGTGTAAAAAGATTCCGGCCGCAAAACCTTGAAAAAATGCAGACACGGCTCGACCCATCAGACCCGGGGCGTGACCTATAGACACTCCCAACAACACACCCAGGGGGATGGTGGCGGCAAAAGCAATGGCAAACTTGACATTTTTTCTCATCGACAACTGCACGGAGGCAGAATTTACACCTAATGCCACCGCCACCAAGCACTCGTGTATCAGCACGGCCACAAAAAGATGTAACGCCCGAGAAATATTATTTTGTAAGCCTAACGCTATTCCTTCAAATATGGAATGCATACTGATTGCCAGCAATAAAAGGAAGAATCTCATGCCACTATTCTCTTCCAGCAAAACGGGCAGATGCGAGTGACCGCCCGGAGTGACCACAACCTCCGCCTGCGTTCCATAATTTTTTATTTCTTCGGGAACCAGTTCCAAATGCATGTCTCCATTACAGGGTTTATCGGAATATTCGATAGCACTGATCGTAGATAATTCCGTATCACCGTAATTATCCATTTCCTTTTCGTCTAGAAGTGTTTGCACCTCATCTTTCTCATCTTCGTTATTTGACAGTTTCCTCTCTTTCCAGCAGACTAGTAACTGTTCTAGAGTGAGAGTGAAAAAGAAACCCAACACCACTACACATTCTCCGACCGAAACATGCCAATTCCAATGAAATTCGTGCAATATTTCGCGGAAATCATCTCGGACATTAGGAATAAGACCGAGGAAGCACATGGCAAGGAAGATACCTGCAGCTACACAATTACAAAGGCTGATGATACGTCTAGTCATATGATTAGGATCCAGCTTCATCACCTGGCCCGACATCCACCAGTTGGAAACGAATACCGGACCCAGATAACATATTAGAGTAAGGATGTAGAGAGATAAAACAAATATTATACGCCAACTTCTCAGCAACATGTCGCATCTCACTGGTTTCTCATCGTCCCGTTTGAATCTTCGTCTTCGATCGGACGACAGCGACGGCCACCGTACATTAGCCTGAATTTCGCCTAACAAAATATCGATTTTCCTCTAATGTCTGATTATAAAACACGCAATTGTTTCCCAATAAATGATAAATAATAAACCATTTATATAAGTCTTTTATTGTCTGGTTATACGTTTGTTTAACTTCCTACGTAATAATTCATCTCGAAACAATACGAGACGTAATCAGATATTAATAAGGGCGGGAATTATGAAAAAAATAAGCGCCTATTTGTATTTAAATAGAAATTAAAGTTTTGTTACAAGCAAATGCGAATAATAAACAATAAAATGATAAGATTTAATTGTTAATAACGCAAATTTGCTAAAACCTTACATTTTAGGACCTTTAAAATCAATAAATCGATTAAGTTCGATTCAATTGATTATCAATGGCTAATTAGGAGAGAGCATTCTTTCATTTTTATTTACATATTGTCATCGCATACAATAAAGATTTTAGTGGAAAATCAAGGACGTTTTTAAAAATATTTGCGTTTTTTTCCTTACATTTAATTACAGTTGTTATAATAGTAAAGACGGTGTGTTATTTGTGATTTAAATCTATCATTTTGAGCTACGAATTAATACAGTACTTTATATGCAAATCTTTTGATAAGAAATGTATTTCTCACTCTAGCTTAATAATAATTACAAATAAAAAATTGAACCTTAAATATTAAAATTTAAAAATTAATTCTGTGATTTTAATATCGTGCGTAAATATATGCGTGCATTTCTGACATATTTTCCATACCATATGATGATTCGCAATGATGCTCGACAGGAAAGCCAATATTTGCAAAGACAGTAAATGGCCTATTATCAATTGTGCTCTGGTCGAGCGAAATTATTTTCTCATTTCAAATGAAAAGCATGTGCATCACATCTTCCATTGTTTCTTCTTTACTAAATTTCCTGAAATTAAACGCTTTCAAATATTTCGCGCTTCTTTGGGCATCTTCGGTCATTTGGCCTATGGACAATATTGCTTTACTAATTAGCCATTCCCCTTGTACAGTACAGTACCAAAATCATATAGAGACTTTGGGGCATGTAATACCGAGCGTATTTTTATATATATAATTTTGCAGTTACTTTTCAGTAATTTTCAAATAAGTTTGTATTCATTTCATCCGTGGCTATCAAAATAATATTTAATCTTAAAATTAAATTTTCGTCGACTCCGATAATTTCTGGTGTTACGGCAGCATTTCCATCATTACCTGTCCCAAAACCAGGTTTAGGCACGGCAATTAAAAGTCCCATCTCTCTACGGAATTTATCCCGAATTTCCTTTTTCTTTGCTTCTACTCTCTCTGTCAGTTTATCTAATTTGCCATTTTCTGACGTCAAGCCTATAGACAACATGCAAAATGCATTCCAAGACCTTTATCCAGACACGGAGGCCGGATGTACCAAAATCCAAACTTTTTTCGTTTACAGGCCGTTGCGATACATCTATGTCGTTCATTGTTTTAGGTAATGCTCCACAAATGTGACTGTATCTGCCAACCAACTGTTAATTTTTCCATCTATCATTGTTACATTTAGCTTGAGAGAACAAATAATATGTGGCTGCAATTTGAAAAAATAATAGAGCTATAAATTTCCACTGTGTCTGTCTGTCCTTCCTTAATCCCATGGAGTTACAGAGATGAAAACCGAGACCACATATGGAAACCTTAGGGGCAGGAGGTCCAGATTAACTATACACGAACTTCCGAAAGTCACGTTATTTCAATTCAAAAATTTTCCTTGAAAAGTGTTAGATGACTGGCACGACTCTATTGTTAAAGGAAAAGTATGATGTACGGGGGCAAGCTACTACTAATAATTGGAGGTGGATAGCATACATTTTAAATTAAATAAATTAAAAATATGATTAAAATTGCAGCCCGGCATTGTGACAATGTCAGAATAAATAAATGCTGGTAATATATATAGTTTAATGGTAATGTTTGTCCTTATTTTTTTCGTGCAGGCAACACCAGGCATATCTGCTTGTTTTATTATAAAAATCAATGTAAACTGATTTGATTATAAGCTCAACCATCCTCTGTTCATTGAAGAGATTCTGGATAGCTGAACCTAGAGCAAAGATCCGCTGTAAAGTGTATGATCTAAATCAATCTTCTTTTTTAGTTTTCTGATAGTTAAAACAGGCCCAGTAAGAACCACCTCTTTTCCACACTACTCTATCCTATGCTCCTGTCTTTAGTTCCTTATAATTACCCTCTTTAAATTCATCTACCATTTTAAGTCTTCCTCGTTTCTTTCTGCCTGCAACCATTCCTTCCGTAACCTTTCTCTCGGATCACATGTCCCATCCAACTAGCTTTTTGCCTCTTGTCTCTAATATGCTTTTCTAACCCATTCTAAGGACTTCATTTCTCACCTTATTGCTCCATCTGACTTTATCTAATATAACTTGTGATTATTATTGGTATAGCCATTTATTGTTATGATAAAAGAGACTATTTTTTTGTAATTCATTTTGTAAAGCTTTTTTTTTTTTGAGTGTCTGGCATTCTACACTATTTCTACACTATCACATCTGGTCACTTTACATTAAAGAACACAAGTTTCCAAAATCTTAGAAAATAACTTGATGATCCCATCTGATTTTTGTCATCTATTAATTGAACTATTATCAAGAAGCATTGAATTTTCTTTGAATACTTTCAATGAATAAAGACAAACTTACATATGAATCTACTTTGATTTTTGTTTTATTAACTGTAAACATAAAACTCAGAAAATTAAAAACGTGCATTCAGATTTTATGCAAAGCCAATGCTTTAAAAATATAAAAGGTGTTGAATTTTGCTTCTAAAGAAAATTATTAAGAAAAATTAATCTACTCACGATAACCACCATATTTTATGCCATATAAGATACACTCCCATTGCAACTTAAAATATTTAAGGAAAATAGTACTGTATATAATTTAAACTATCCTGTACTTTTGATACTTAGCTCCAAATTTTTTACTGTATTCTGTTTATAAAGTAAAATTAGAATGCACTTTTATTTATCAGGAAAAATTAGTAGTTTAAAAAAGTCATTTACAATTAAAAGATTCTATATGAAAGCATGCAAAAGCTGTTAAGCCATTGCAATAATAAATAATAATAATAATAATGTTTTGAATAAAAGTGTTATTGTTTAGAGTTGGACTAGGTAAAAGTTACTTGTAACCACTGAAGGCCATTTTCCTAAATATAAGAAAATTCATTAACTAACCTATGGGAGATTGTTACTTCACACATAATACATGGCAATTTTTCGGGTACTTTTGGACAAAAACCACATCTTATATACTGTAAAATATGGTATTACTTCAGTAGATTTAAATTTACTATGTACAGTTTAAATGTTGTTAAGGTTTAAAAGAAACAAATACTTATAAGGTACTAGTTGTAGTAATTAAATTGATTGGATCACAAAGAAGTATCAGATTTCAGATAATGGATCAATACAAAAATCTACTAGTTGTGTAAAAACTAAAAAAACATTTGTTTTTTAAACAGAAATCTAATTGAAAAATGTGATGAAAATTTGTGGTCAATTAATGGGAATAAGATTAGTCTTCTCAACAAAATGATAAGGCTTTCAGTAATAAAATTAAGAATGTTTGAGAAAATTATTGAAAATCTGAAATATATTTACTTAAGGAAATGAGGGCATGCATTAAAATAAACCAATTATGAGTTTTAAATATTACCTCAACAACCAATATATCCAGCTATCCAAATACAAATAGAAAAGCATTAATTTTTAACAAGAATTAGTTTCCGGTTTCCTTTAACTTGTCGAGGAATATACACAATAGTCTTCACAGTGTGCGATTACCATCCATAAATGAAATTTGCTACGCTTCCTATAAACTAACATAACCATTAAAAAAAAATATGAAGTTTAGATATTTTTATCTTACAATTAAACTTTATGCAAAAAGTTTTAAAAAAAAGTATTTTAATTTATGTTTCTACACAAACAAGTTAACAAGTAACCCAAAATATATAATTTACAGAAACATCCATGCAAAAATATCTATTTGATAATTTGTTTTCATTTATTATCACGAAATTAATATTGTTCCAACGTACGTAAAATTGCTTCGAAAGTTATAAAAACTCTCTTTAAAATATTGTATCGAGCACTTATATCAAGAATCCTTCCACACTTGTTATATATTAAACAATACATAATTAAGTGGAATAAACATATGTACGGATTAAGTATTTCAAAAAATTAAAATTTTAATTTCATCTTTTAAATTACAGTATGAACATATTTCTATTTCATAATGATTGAAGAACTTGGATTATGTTATTTGTCATAAAAAATTAGAAAAAGTGCAATTTTGCAGTTTTAAAACAAACATTATGATGAAATATCAAACTCTAATTTTAACAATAGCTTTGTTTTTCTATTATGACCCAAACAACCGTAACCATAGTCGTTAGTCGAACACACGAAATGGGTGGAGATGACTCCTCATCTAATACGACTTTACTCGACAGTAAGAACTTATTCATCATTTATTTCGGTCGATTCTTGCAAAGTACAAGTCCTATTTTCTTCTTCCACACTCTCTTCGGTCACGTTTTGTTTTTTCTTTCCTTTATTTGCGCCGCTTTCCTTTTTCGATTTTTCTAATTGGTAAGTCTTCAGACAGTCTTTTAATGGCTCGATAAATCTATCGAACTCCATATCTTCCATCGCAGACAGCACGTCGTTTCCCAGTAGTGTCTTCCTTTTAGCTTTCATGGCGAAGTTATTGGCACAAGACGTCGTATATAACACGAAAACGCTGGCAGCTTTCGATAAGGCCGCTCGAGCTTCTTTAGACACGTTGACTCCGTCGGGTAAAGCTTCTTTTACTATCCTCGTGACCACAGCGTTAGGTAAATTGAAATCTTCGGGTCTTTCCGCCATTTCTTTCTTTAGAATATCACCGCTCGCAACGACGCGCAGCGGATAAAAATTTTTATAAAACTTCCAGAGTGGATATAAGATAAATTGTCTTAAACGATACGTTTGCTGTTTTTAATTCGCTAAATCTCCAACATTTATTAATAATTCAAGTAATTATTAAATTTACGTGTTTTAACTAAATACTAGAAACTGAAACGCGGCGATGGCGTCAAACTCGCGTTAGGATTATTCAATGTTGCCAAATATGGCTACCAATTTTTTAATTTGGCCTGGTTTGGCGTAAAAAATATCATTTCGCGCGTTGGCTACTTTTTGGGCTACATAAATTTGACTCGATTACATTTTTGGTTACACATTTATTTATAAATATATTATTTAAATAAAAATGCATTAGGTCCACCAGTGACCGAGCGATCTTCGTCTCCGCACTTTCAGTGGACTAGACCTTGAACACTGGGAGTTCGTTCGTCTCCTCGGACTGGCTGGCAGCGTGCAGTTTTCCGGATTTTCACCACGTCGATGACACCCGAATAGGGGCCAGTTTCCGATATAAAAGTCATTCTTTCCCCCGCGCGCGTATTGGCCAATCTTTAAGGCCGGCTCTTCGGTCTCCTAGCTATCAAAAAGCTATGCTATTCCGAGTGTAGAGCCTACGGATAACGAGAAAGGCTTAAGTTTAACATTTGAACTTACCGGATCCAGTAGTTTTTTCTCTACGAGCGTCTGCTGTGCCGGATGAAGAAAAATGAAAAGTAAATTCAGCTTTTCTAGAAATTTTTCAACTTTTCAATTGCTTTTTCGGCAACCGTTTTATACAAAATCTTGAAATTTTGCATACTACCTATGAAAACAATTTTCTTTCGAACGAGACGAGATATTAGAAATTTCTAGAGGTGTTTAAGGGGAAGAGTAAGCGATCCACGAAAATTGGCAACCTCGATAACTGTATATGTAGTCAGTCAGTGACTTTTTTACTTGCCGAAAAGTCGCTACTGTGACTCCTGATATAAGACACTAGATTATTGGATCAAATTTTATCTGTTATTATTAAATACAGAACGTTCTCAATATATGTCATACTTAAGTAGGAACAAAATGGTGTACTGTACATCGAATATTAATTTCTCATCGAAATAATATATTATGTGAGAGATATGATACATTCCAGACTAACTAAAAACACTTTATGTGGAAATGTCTAGGGCAGGGGTCGGCAACCTTTTGAGTCGGAAGAGCCAAAATTACAATTTACAAAATTTCAGTTTTTAAAGAGCCACAAAATTTTTTCTTGCCAACAATAAATAGTACTCGCATAAATAAAGTTTTTTGATAAAAAAAAAAACTAATCTATTTATTCATAAGAAAAAATATCTATTTATTCATATATAAGTAGTGTTTTTCACAACAAATTAGATAATAGAAACATCCGACGACGGCGTCATTCGAGAGCTTCCGACGGATTGACGACAGTGACGACGCGTCACGGGGGAGGGGTACGGTGAAAAGCGAGTACAAGTGGCTGAGAGATAGAATCGGTGCCTAATCTTCGTTAATCGATTCAGAACGATTTTTAATTTTTTTTTTGATAAAAGAAATAATATTTGCGTATGGAACTAAAGAGCCGCAACTTCACATCCAAAGAGCCGCATGTGGCTCACAAGCCGCAGGTTGCCGACCCCTGGTCTAGGGTACAATAAGAAACTGTTTATGCTACTGCTGTTAATTTTAAGACCTAGTATAACAAGGTGACCGCCGGATGTTTGAGCGGTTAAGACTTCAGTCTATTGCCATGAGATCAAATTTGGGGTATCAAAGAACCCAGAACGATGTATACCTGATGTGTGAAGTCCCGTCCCATGCAGTCCGTCAGCCCATATTATGGATTTTGAAAAACCAGGGATGGGTAAGATTAAAACAGTCCTCTCTTAGTGCTCTCGATAAACAAAACAAAACCAAAAATCACCAGCTGCCATATTGCAAATATGATGAAATAAGAGCATAAAGATCTTTAATTATCTTAGGCAAGAGTTAACAATACTGAAATACTAGCGAGATTTGTACGCAGATAATTTCTTCCCATACTAAATTTCCAGAGATTAACAGAAAAATTCATCACAAACCAATTATTAATGCGAATGTCTGAAATTCCATTTAATCTATGCAAATTGTAATTACCAGAGCCCCTTCGGCCGCCAACGTAAAGTGTTTTAATCTTTAATGTTGGCGTTTGCCCTTCCCGGGACGAAAACCCAGGGGTTTGATTTGTGAGAAGCGAGTGTTCGGGTTGTTTCATTTTGTCGAATTATAGAGAATGAGGCGCTAACGTGTGAGTGAGTGAGTGTGATAATTCGAATAAAGATTTAAAGGGTGTATATCTTCGTGTACAGTGATGTTGGGTTTGCGCGCATGTATTTGTTTGTGAGTGTTCCAAGAACATCTTTCGGCATATATAAAAACAGAAAAATAGTAAATTATTATAGTAAAAATAGTAAATTAGAATAAGATATGTACAAAAGACCTGACCTAGCCTATTTTGACCTAACTTAACCGAAATATCAATCCTCATAACAGCTGTTTGGGAAGAAAGTCGCATCCAGTGAGTAAATGTGTCAGGTCCATGGTTACAATCGGGAGTCAAATCTGTTGTCGTCGACCGAGTGTCACAATTGTGCTGACAAAAGGGTGTTTCCAATGTGTATATATAGAATTAGCATCCCAAAAAGTGCAATGCATTAAAGAGAAAGTTCCAAAAAAGCATGTTTATGTAAGTCAATTAGGCTTCTAAAAAACTAGTAGTATGGAATCCTAAAGGAGTTTATTGAATTAGAAGATAGAATATACAGTACCAAGAAAATCCAGAATGATTAAAAGAAATCAATAGCAGTGCAGTAAAACTAACAGACCAGGTACAAGATAGCCTCAAAAGAAAGTACAGTAGACCCCCCTATAACACTGTAGATAATTCCATGTTATATGAATTCCATGTTATACGAGTCACTTAGATTTTACAAATACGTGTGCCGGGCTGTGAATGGTTCACGTATTTGTAAAATCTAAGTGACTCGTACAACATGGAATTATCTACAGTGTTATAAGGGGGGGTCTACTGTATATCAGAAAGATGAATTGGATCCTAAAGAAACAAGCCCTGCACAGAAAGAAAAAGGATATAAAACCATATGTACCGGTACTTTGGAACCAGATAAAAATACTGAAAAGATATAGAGAGGGTGTTAAAGAACGGGCCCAATTACGTTGCAAACAACAAAAGTATGTGGCAAACTTCAATGGCTGAAATGGAGAGGAATGGTGGGTTTTAGTAATGCAGAGGATTATTTTAGATGGAAAATGGTATTCAATGAAAAGGGATCACATGAGCAAAAAGGAAAGGAACAGTTAAATGTTAAATGTAAGGTATACAAAAGAATGGCTAACAAAAAATCAGTTGGTTGTAACAAAGGCAGATAAAACCAAACAAATAGTAATCATAAAAAGAGGCATTACGATGAAGCCATTGAGGAATATATTAGAACTGAATGCAAGATTTTGGATGAAAAGACAGTTACATTAACTGACAAAAAAGTTAAAAAGCTTGAAAAAAATGCTACTTGCATCTGTCACAACATTCTTGAAAAGAGGACATAACCCCAGCCCACAGATGCCTAGAATCTTTCCATTCGAACATACAAACAGAACAAGATCAGACCATTGGTGAAAAAATGTAACGTACTAACACATGTACTAGAGAAGTGGTTAAAAAAGTATATTTCTTAACAACTAGAACACAGTAATTATGTTGCTCATGATCCAAATAGATAGTAAAAGAATTACAAGACCTAACTTTAATGAACAATGAAATAGGCACTGTAATGGACTTTGAAAATCTGTACACATCTATTAATCTAGCATCTTGCTACAATGCACTCATCGAATTCATGGTTCAACACAATCCGATGTTATCGACATACTCAGAGGACATAAATAATCTAGCAGACTTGATGTGCTATGAATCCTTTTTTTTAGATTCAACAGGGTGACATACAAACAAAAGAAAGGTGTCCCAATGGGAAGTCCTATGTCAGGACTCTTGTGTGAACTAGTGCTAAATGAGCTGGAAAAAGACATCCTCAAAGATTTTTTTGAACACATTATAATCTACAAACAATATGTCAATGACGTATTTATAATTTTGAAAAATAACTGACAAATTTAAGAATTTTTACTTGCAATCCAAAATAATGATCATGGTTTAAAACTAAAAGTGGAACAAAAAGCTATACAGCTCTCCCTTAATAGTCCGACAGGTATGGGACCAAAGGGGTGTTGGATTACCAAAAATGATTACATATTTTGCATTGTTTTGCTAGAAGTAGCTTACAATATTCCCTACTCCAACTGTTCGAACATAACTGCTCACAGAAAACACACGAAACGTGTGTCATCATGTAAGAATTGGATGGGGAGATTAACGTCGCGACATGCTTCTGTGTAAGCAGACACATAACGGGGACGGGTACCTTGACGGGAAGTGCGTCGGACTACTGAGCATGTCGGATTAAAAAACGTCGGACTATCAAGGAAGAACTGTACTCATCTTCATTTTTTGAACATTGATATAAGATTTAAATAAGGAAAATACACATGGGTGTGTATTTAAAACCCACACATGTTCCTCTCTACATACCATCTTGCTTGTCCAACAACCCATAAAAATATAAATTATCACCGTTTAAAGCACTCATCATAAGAGCATTTTTATACTGTACCATCTCAAGGAGATTAATAGAATTAAATGTTGCAACAACTGTGGGTTACAAAACTGCCACAATTGAAGGATTGATCAAAGGTTACAGAGAAAATAAAGGCAAAAAAGATACCACCTCAGAAGGAATTAACAAATTCACATACAATAGGCATTTAGGAGGTGTGGTTAATGAGTTAGTTTCTTATAAAATTTTGAGAATGGTCTATAAGAAAAGCTATATGGTCTAAAAGAGTACCCAATATCTATAGCTTACTACGGAATGATAGACAGTATAAAAAAAGGAGAAAACTGGGGTGTGTAGTAGTAGTAGTAAGACAGGTATCACTTTTTGGTACAACCTGTGTTATGGAAGAGGGAAGGGGGTGGGGGTGAGAAAGGCTGTAGTAATAAAATACCATTTGAAAATCAACAGTTAGGAATTGAAAAAGATTATTTGGGTGTGACTAGAAGAAACCTGGCAGTATGTCTGCGAGAGCATAGATACAATGTTGACAAAGGACACAACACAATACAGTATTAGCAATTATGGTGCAGACCAGGTTGAAAACATTTGTAAAAATAAACAAATTTTAAACTCAGCAAAAAATTAAGTGTTGGTGAATTTGAAGTGAATTATTTGCTGGAAAAGCAGTGGATAGATAATTAATTAGTATAATTTCCGAGAAAAAAAACAAGATATTCTACAAATGTCGAGTAACAAAATTTGTTATATTTTAAATGAAGTACTTACATCATTTTCATATAAATTAAAATTGCATAACAAACCATAAATTATATGTAATACTAAATACATTTAAATTTATAATGAAAATAAAATTATCATCTCCTCTTAAAAAAATAATAATAAACATTGAAAAAAATGGTTCATGACTTCTGTGCAAAAAATATTTTCATATAATTTAATGTTTAAAAACCTATAAAATTGGACTAGTAATTCAATTGAGTCCTAAATATCTAAATTAAATTTTTCTTTGTGATTAAAATGTAACATCCAATGTAAATTCTATGATATTTCCAGGTCCTTCGATGCACTTTGCATTTTTACCATGAACTCGTTTCCAAATTGTATTCATTTGATTCAAAAAGTTTTCTAACCTCTCAGTAATTGTAAATATTATTGAATTCAATTGATGACTAAAAGTAAAGTAAATCTCTGATATATCACAGTCCCAATTAATAGAACCTGATAAATTTAAGTGAGTTATTGGAATATTATTATCATTTAAAGAATGCAAAAGATGTTTAATACATGTGGCATTTAATCTTGGATTTGCACTTAAATTTAAGTATTGCAAACTTTTGCAGAAAGTTATGGCTTCTGTAATTTCTTTCATGTCTTCATTCTGTAAAGAACAATCACTAAGATTAAGATGCAACAAATTTGTCATTTGAGGAAGGAATTCTTTAAATAATTCTCCAATATTTCTTTCTCTAGATTTTATAGTTGAGAATAAATCCAATTTTCTTAATTCACCAACATAAAAATTAGTAAATAATTCTCTTAAACCTGATATTCCTAATTTATTGTTTGCTAAATAAAGTTCCTGAAGATTATTTTTCATTTCTTGAAGAAAATTTCTATCTTGAAAAATACACCTTTCCACATTACATCCACTTATATCTAATATTGATAGAGAACAATACTTAAAAAAAGAAGTAATTGGAACAAAATCTGGTCCAATTGCATTATATGCAATATCCAATTTTTCTAAATTTTGTAATGGTTTAGTTTCTGCACTTTCAATAAAACAAACTTTAGAAATATTTTGAATACCAGTTCTCATTAATCCACAGCATCTTAAACTTAACACAATAAGATGACGTAAAGTAACCAATGATGATGCTAATAGTGTTATTGCTTCATCGTTTAAAAAGCAACCACTAATATTCAATACTTTAATATTTTCTTGATATTGCAAAGCAGAAAATAAAGGTTTAGCTAATTTAATATTGAAATTTATATTTTCAATGGAAAGCTCTCCAGATATTTCTGTCATTTGTAATTTTCTTAACATAGATTGATATTTTAAACCAGCGTCACCACAAAATTCTTTAAAACGTTCAGTAAGTAGAGGTATTTCCCAATTTTTAACAATTGCAATCACTTCTTCATAATTTGTAAGGACTAAGCCAATTGGATCTGAAGATGAAAGAACTGCTCCATCAGAAGTACTTAATAACAAATGTGGTTTTTTACCAATTAAATCGTAATATCGTCTAGAGGCCTCAATTTCTAACCAACTGATTTTCAATTCGAGATCGTTAACTGGAATTAAAATCATTTTATCTTCTATTTTAACTTTTAAACAGAAAATTGATTTTGAAGCAGTTTTAGATGCATTTTCTGTTATATTTTGACTTAAGTCTTTGCAATTTTCTGCGCTTGTTTCTGTATTATGAATATCTGAATATTCTATTTCATTATTTACAACAGAAGTTGTGATATTTGGTAATTTTGATTGGTTTAATTTTCTTTTTTCTTTAGATTTTGAATAAGTTCCTGTTTCATAACTTGTTCGCATTTTTTTCGATACATGCTTTTTTTCTTTCATATCATCTAATAACCAATCTTTAACAATCTTATCTTCATCAATAAGAGCTGTAGTAACTTTATCATTTTTGATGTGCATTTTTGGCATTTGATTAGTTGATAAACCACTTTTCCTTAAGTTAGACATCACTGATTGATATTGAGAACATGCATTAGTTGAAAAATCTATCTCATTTTCTAAAATATTGTCTCTTGCATATATATCATAATCTTCATCCATGTTTTCATCACAATTGTATAAATTTGCAGTTGGAGAAATACTTGGAGAACGTTGTCTTTTATCTATATTTCTTCTACTTAATTCATTATTGGAAACTGTTAATTCCTGAAAACAAGTTAGTTCTTCTTGACCTATCAGCTTTAATTTTTCAGACAATTCGTCTTCAAATTTTAAAATTTCATTAAGTTCTCTTGAATCTAAATCACGGTGTGCTCTTTTTCTCCATTTTCTCAAACAATCTAAGGGAGTTTCTCCATTATGAGTTCTTGATGTTATTGATGCTCCTTTATCAATAAGTAATCTCATTATATCAATGTGTCCACAATTGGCAGCATCATGCAGAGGAGTAATTCCTTCACATAATTCTCCACCATTGTCATTAACCCAAGCACCTTTTTCTATTAGATAATGTACTATATCATAATAACCATAATTTGAAGCTTCATGTAATGGAATCCAGCCGCAGTTATCACGAGGATTGACGATATGACCATTTTCAATAAGGTGTTTTACAAATTTAAGATTTCCTTCAATGCACGCTCTGTGCAGAGGTGTTTCTCCGACATCATTACGCTTTGAATCGAGTTTTTTCCGAGATCTTTTTGAAACATTTTGTGTTTCATCCTCAGCTTCATTATCAGTGCAATCAGATATATCTGACAATGAAATTTCATCAAAATAGTCAGGATTATCATCATAACCTGTATCAGAATCTATATCTCTGTCATCAAAATCTAATTCAATAATCTTTTTTTCTATTTCTTCTATTTCTTCCGCTTCAAATATTTTACATTTCTCTTGGAGATATTTCATCTGCTGTAAGCATTGATACTGTAATTTAACTTGTTCACAATTCTCTGCTAAATTAAGTGCATTTTTATATATAATTTTTAATTGCTTATAATCTTTTAACAGTTCAAGAATATCAGCTATTTTTAAAAATGTTTTACATTGTTCTTCCTCATTTCCACTGTAACCATTCAATTCCATTTGAAAATATTCAAGAGCTTTATCATACTGCTCATCATCTGCATATGTTTGAGCTATAGAAAAATAAATTGCAGTCAACTCATTATCTTTTTTTCCAGCTTCTTTTAAATTTTCAAGTGTAAAGATATAGTATTGAACAGCAGGTTTATAACAAGCAAGAGATGATAGTATATCACCAATTTTTTCTAAACACCGAGCCTTTCTAATTTTTTCCTCTTCTGATAACAACTTAAGCCGAGTTTCAGTATCACAAATCAGATATAATCCTTTTAGATATTTTTCAGCTCTTAATTGATCATTGTTTTCATTTGACTTTATTTTATATGCCTTTTTACAACTTGATTTTGCACCATGAAAATCTTTAAGCATTATCATGATCTGCACTTTTAACAATAAAGAATCACATATTAAAGTTTTATCTTTTAAAATTTTAGCAGATGATACCGCTTCATCAGCTAATCTAAGAGCAAACGTCAGATTTCCAAACTGTTCGTATACATTTGCCAAAGAATATTGACATCGATGCAAATCTTCCGTCAGAGAGTGTTTTTTCGTTAAAAAGATAGCCTGTTTGATACTCTCGGCACACCGAGACATATTTTTTCGTTTGTTATAAATCAAACCCACATTTAATAATAACCGTGCTTTCATTTCCGCATGTTCTTTAGCAGATACTTCATCTCTCAACTCTTCGACTAACTGTAAACTTTCCGTAAAAGCATTTTCGGCTTTATCGAGTACGGACAGATTCCCATTTTCGACCACGTAATAAAACGTTCTACCTAAAGTAGCCCACGCTCTTTGTTCTTCTAACTTTGAACCAAGTTTCACAGATAGTTCAAGATATTTTTTACCATAGCGAAGTGCTTTTTTATAATTTCCCATATCACTGTAACATTCACAAATTCTTCTGTTAGCTATAGCAACACCTAACATGTCATTTCGAGATTCTGAAATTTGCAATTCTTCCTGATGAGCTTCTAATGCTTCTTCACAATTTCCAGCTTTACTAAGAAGCTGTCCTATGTAATTACAAAGAACTGCAACATCTTTCCAATTTCCTTTCAATTCTTCTTTACGTTTTTCTCTTTTTAACTTTTCTAATTCACTCATGTTGATATATTATCAATCCAATTAGCCAAAACGCATTTCTAAACGAATAAAGTTACATTAAAACAGTAAATCATCCAGACGACACGTTTACAAATACCGCCAAGAAGCAGAATGTAAGTGTTGCCATAATAATAAATAAAATTAGCGATTGCAAAACCAAAACTAATGGTGATGATAAATATAAAATAATAACTACATAATGCATTAATTTAATAAAACATATTATATAAAAAAATAAAGCGAAACATATTTCCGCTGACTCTTAATTATCTCATTATTATTTAATGACTGCGTTCTGCTGAACGACGAGTGACGTATACATTGGAACAAAAAGCCTCATTGGTCAATTTCAGTGAATGTGATGTCAAAACACCAAACATGTTCAGAAAGAGCGCTACTGTAGAGGGCGTTCGGCAGAAAAATACTCAACAGCTCCGGAACTGTTGAGTCTGCTGAACGCAGCCAATGATGTTACGTTACATTATACAATGAATCATCTGCTTTCTCAAAAATGATATATGTTATTAGTTTATTTCATCATTTGCTAGTACTTTTAAGTTGTCCGTACTTGCTTCAATATTGTTTTTAATCCGTACTTCCTTAATTTTCTTTAGTCTTTTTAATTCTCTCCACTCTATGGACACTAGAGAGTATTTTTCTATGTCCATCATGTGTTCGGCCAGGGTCTCTAACACACCTACGGGACGAAATTGCTGAGTAGCTCGCGCCCAACTAAACCAAGTTTTCCGCCGAGCGGTAAGAAACAAAGTCCTCTGTTAATATACAGACCGTTCGGAAAAATTTCTTAGGCTTTCGTTTCGGACACAATGGCCGCGTTATTTTAATGCAGAGATACTCGATTGATATACAGAAAAGCGTTTCTAACTGAAGCGTTATCATGTAGCGAATCGTTTGCTGCAGAAAAGATAAAGCAGTTTTCTCATCCGTTACATGTGCAATCCGAATAAGCTAGAGCGACAAACAGACACCTTTACTGCTAGACAACCCTTGCCGTTGGTTCGCCCGCAATCATAATCATTTGCTATTATCTACTACTTTTTTAAAACTCCGCCCTGTTAGCACAAAGAAAGCCTCTTTTAGCAAGCCCATTATGGGGTTCGGCCAGGTCCACAATGGACGGGTCCGACACATCCGGTATTCAGTCGGTTCACCCTTGGGTCGTCCGGACGGATTCGATCCCAGGTCTCCCAGGGCGGTAGGCTGCCACTTCGAACTCTCGGCCATCCGGCCGTCTGCTATTATCTACTGCAGACGTATTATCTATAGACTTTATCCATTGTTTTTCAAGTTTTTTGTCTAGGTTATCTCATCTTCAGTATTCTTGTTATCTTTTATGTTTTAAGTTATAAATCTACTCGTGATTCACGTAATCGGGCGAGGGCGGCCAAATATCTAGCGGGCGGGCGGCTAATAGCCCAGAACCGGTCCTGGATAGAATTGGAAGCGTTATATGTGTAGCAGTCACCCGAGATCCTACGCTTCCACCGGCTAAACCGGGCGAGGTTGGTGCTCCGTAAAGCGCGTGCGCGAATTTGGCTTTTTGGATGCTGACAATACAGCGCTTCCACTCTGCCACTAATATTCGAATATACAATAGCGATCTTATCTTTTTTTCACGTGTAGTATAGAAATTTGTAATAAGATACATAATGCGGTTATAATAAAATATTGCGCGATTATTTTCATATAATTAAAATTAATATGTATTTATTTTTTTAGAAAATAAGCGGAAAGGGAAAGGGAAGCGGAGCATCCACCGCTTTCAATGACGGCACGCCACTGCTTTCCACATCGAACCAATTAATTCGGCCGAGACCCAGTCGAGCCCCACGTCCTCCAACGTCTTTTCGGACGCGGTAAGAGTCTGAGAGACTCGTTCCGCGCCGTCCGAGGAACCCCCTTTCTCCGGCGCTACCGACTTCTTCCGTCGGAACCTCCTCGGAACCACTCCAAAATTTTCATTCTGTAAAAAACAAAATTTACAATTAGTCGAGTGAAAACAAAAGCTTAAATTAAAGCTTAAACTTTTCCGAGATAAAAAAAGTGGTCACCGCAGCTCCATAATAAAATCTAAATAATTAAATCTCCGAAAACTGCACGAAATTGGTTTGAATAAGTTGATAAATATCTTTTTCGTTCATTTTCGGCTATCGGATGAAATAAATCAAATTCTTAAGATTTCGATTCGTCGTTTCACATTTTATATTTTTATATTCAATGATAATGTATTTAGTACAATGATGATATTTACTATACTTTTCTAAAATTATGATTTGATCGAGAATATTCTTTAAGTATTTGTATTAAGTAAGACAATAGAATAAAGATTTTTAAAGCATAACTATCATTTTTCAGTGTTCGTCTTATGAAAAAATATACTGCTTTTTAGCGGTTGCCTATATATTATTAATGTACTGGCAATTTTTTGCCAACTGACGACAACGCGTTCCATGCTGTGTATTATTCCTTAGTACAATTAAGGGCGGCCGGATGGCCGAGCGGTCAAGGTGGCAGCCTACCGCTCTGGGGGACCCGGGTTCGAAACCGAACGGGTCGAAAAATCCCCAGGAATTTTTCGGGGGGTGGTCTGTTCGGATATGTCGGGCCCCGTCCCTTACCACCCGGCAGCCCCATTGTGGGCCTGGCCGAACCCATAATGGGCTTGCAAAAAGAGGCCCTCTTAGTGCCCACAGGGCGGAATGAGTTAAAAAAAAAAAAGTACAATTAAGGAGATTAATCAAAAATACGCGTTAGGTAATTTTGGAACGAGTACAGTACGCGCGACAATGCTACCGAGCGTTGCAATCTATATATATAAAATTACTTGTCCTGACTGAACGACTCACTCACTAATTCATCATCGCCCAGAGCAAACCGCTGAACCTAGAGATGAAATTTGGTACACAGTTAGGGTACGTCATGAAAACGCACATTAAGAAGGGAGTTTTCGGAATTCCCTTTCGGGGGGAGAGGGAGAGGATTTAGTCTTCACCGAGTACTTAGGTGTATTAAACATTTCAGACATTGTTATAAACATTTTTATATATTTCCGTTTTAAATCCGAATTTGTTATTGCATATTAGTTCGATTATAGAACGATTGTAAACGTTCCAGAAAATTAATCAATTTGAATATACAGTAGAGCGTCGTTTATCTGAATCAATTGGGGACTGGGGTTGTTCGGATAACTTATTTTTCGGATAATCAATTATGTAGGAAAAAATATATTAATTTATCCCGTGTTGAAATTTTTCTCCGTTGCGTGTCGCTTCGCGTTGAATTTTCGTCGATGTTAAGCCTAACGAAGACTATTGTATCGTTAAAAATTATTTTTTTATTTTGTACAAACAAAATAAATATATTGAAAAATATAAAAACAATAAAAAATTATACTTCAGAAGTTAATTTAGTATCAAAAACGTAAAATATTTGAGTAGCC